CCAACGATGTCGACATGAATGTTGTCGAACCTAGCGCTAGCGGCGGGAAAAATCCCTGTAGGAGATATGATATGTCTATTTACCTTTGACTTCTGGCATTGGATACATCCCCGTGACCATTTTCGTACATCTTTGTTTATGTTTGGCCATACAAACCTATCTGTGATAAGCTTTACAGTGGCTTTTATACCTGGATGAGATATGCTGTGTAGTTTCTCAAAAATGTTTCGTCTCATATCATTAGGTACAAAGGGGCGAGTTTTACCTGTTGGGATATCACAAGTTAAGGTGTCCTTGTTGTTTATGGGGATGTTCTGGAATAATAATTTCGTTTCTTTACATTGCAAAAGCTTTTGTTGCTCCTATCGAGCTTTGGATGTTTTGCCATGTCTTGATAGTTTATATCAGAGATCGAGAAAGTATTGATATTTAATCTCGATAGTGCGTCTACTGCATCATTTTCATTGCCTTTTATATAGCGTATATCAGCTGCAACTTGTGAAATGAATTCTAGTTGACGAATTTCGCGCGGACTGTATTTATCATGATTGTGCATCAAGGACTTAGAGGTTTGTGATCAGTATATATCGTAAAAGAATTACATTCTAACATATACTGAAAGTGTTTGATGGCTAAGTAGATAGCCAACAGTTCTCTACCGAATGTGCTATATTTTGTTTGCGTTGCGTTTAGTTTTTTTGAGAAAAACGCAAAGGGTTGTCGTTGTTGATTGACACGTTGCTGAAGTACAGCACCTACTGCTACATTAGAAGCGTCGGTCATTACTGCTAAAGGCCCATCAACCTTTCGTTGTGCAAGTAATGCCTCGGTGCTTAAGGCGCTTTTCAACCGTTCAAATGCTTGAATTGCTTGCGGTGTCATTGCTAATGATTTAGCTCGTCCCCGTAATAAATCAGTTAGCAGTTTTGCTACGTCTGCACATTTCGGGATAAAACGTCTTTAAAAGTTTATCATCCCAAGGAAACGTCGTAGTTTCTTGAATGAATCAGGTAAAGAATAATTTTGATAGCTTGTGTTTCCTCAGGAACTGTTTTGATGTTTTGATTATCAAGTACGTGACCTAAAAAGGTGAGGAATCGTTTTCCAAACTCACATTTGTCAGGGTTGACTGCTAACCCATACTCGTTTAGCTTCTCAAAAAGCATTTTCAGGTGAGTTAGATGTTCATTTTCATCTTTGCTTGCTATAAGTAGGTCATCTATGTAAGCATATACAAACGGTAAGCTGCGTACCACTTGGTCGATAAAACGCTGGAAACTTTGTGCAGCATTCCTTATTCTGAAAGGCATGCGAACAAATTCGTATAGTCCAAATGGGGGCAGTAATGGCTGTTTTAGGAACATCGTCCGGATGAATTGGAATGTGATGGTAATCACGGACGAGATCAACTTTTGAAAAAATCGACACATCCGATAGGCTATGAGTAAAGTCGTGTAAATGTGGGAGAGGGTATCTGTCTAGTATGGTCTGGCTGTTGAGAGCTCTATAGTCACCGCACGGTCTGACTTCGGAAGAGTTTTTCTTGGGTACCATATGGAACGGTGATGCCCACGGATTATCGGAGAAGCGTATGATACCCAACTCTATCATTTTGTTGAATTCGTTCTTTGCGATAGCCAGACGAGAGGGGTCAAGGCGTCTTGGACGTGCGAACACTGGTGGACTCTCTGTCTTTATGAGATGTACAACGGTATGTGTCGGTTTGTCATGTTTGAAACTCGGTCGTAATAAGTCTGGAAACTGATTAAGTAAATTGACGTATTTGTCATTCTCGTGATGAGGTTTAACTAATAAATGTATGGAAGTCTCATTTGATATAATTCCTCGGATCTCATTCCTCTGTTCGGCAAGGACAAGTTTCCTGTTTCTGACGTCTACCAGTATTTTGTGGAGTTGCAGAAAATCAATGCCGATTTAGGAACGAGGACGTCCGCTATGATGAAACTCCATGAAAAATTAGATTTAGGATTGAAATTTAATGGTAACCGCTTTTTGCCGTACGTCTTGATGTCAGACCTGTTTGCTGCTTGTAGTTTTAGTTTGGGATCAGGTATGTTTTTCTCGAGTTTAGTGGGTGGTACTACACTGACCTCTGCCCCTGCGTCGACTAAAAACTGTGTGCCGGTCCTTTTGTCTGTAACATATAACAGACGGCTGTCTTGAGAATTGTGGCCAGTGACTGCAGTTGTCATTAGCCGGCGGTCTTGGCGTTCCTTTTTCTGTGTGCTTGCGAAGTTACGAGGCGGAGTTCATTTTTTAGATTTTGCCGTACGTTCTATGGTGTTAACAAATGTTGTGTCTGGTAGTGCTTGGACTACGACGTCTACGGCTTCTGGATGTCCCTCTACACTAACTGTGAAGAGTATTCAATAATCAGAGCTGCGCTATCTGTTTAGTGAGGGCATCAACTGTTCGTCTTACCTCGGCGATCTCGTCAGTTGAGCTTGATTGTATGTGTGATACAGAGTGAGTCTTAGACCGCTCGTAAATTCTGTCGGCTATGTCTGCTAGCCTATCAAAACCGACATCTTCGTCTCCAATCGCAAGTACCTGCTGGATGTTTTGTGGTAGCAATGAGTTTGCGTAACTAAATTTCGTTCTCTGATTTGTGATTCTGTTTGCAACAAAAAAGCTTTCTAAGCGTGCAAACCAGAGTTCAGCCTTTCGCGGATTAAAGACAGGTAAAGGTACAGAGATGGCACCCACGGACATAGATTTAGATGAAAGGCTTAGCGAATTATCAAGTGCCATAATACGATGAAGCAAAAATAATAATAAGCTGAGGATTGTAATATACAATATGAAAAAATCAAAAATAACAAAAAGAAATATATATAAGACTCACCGGGAAGAAAAACTGTCACTTTGGGTTTAAATATGCGAATATACGACAATAATTCCAAAGGAACAATGTTATGGGTGGATTTATTATGACTGTCAATGAATTGTTAATAATTGTAATAGTAATTCCAATGTGAAGTTCTTTGTGATACGCTTGGAAAGTATGCAGCAGACTTTGTAGAGAAATGGTGCGTGTTCTAAAAGTGGTTCACCAAATGTTGTGGTTAATTTCCTCTATATCTGACTCTAATAATGATATCTCGTTAACTGAGTATTTAAGGTAGGCTAAATCTCCTAGTAGAATTATGGATTTACTCGAGATTATTCAGAAGCCTGAACATCAGTTGTGGAGATATTTTATTATTAAAGATAAATAAAATCATCAAGCGTACAGCGAGCAAGCACACTGTGAAACCAAGAGCGTGTGTGTGTGTGTTAAAAATCCATATATATTTTTGAGTGTCAATCAAGTGTGGATAAATTATTGATTATCTGTATGTCACAACCAATAGGAGAATCGATTAAGATTGATGTGCAGACACGCGCTCAATCACACACACAGAAATTAACATAGTGAATTAAGCGTCTGAATTACACTGAGTAGACAAATAATACACTAGTTGAATGGGCTTGCTACAGTCCATTCTATCCGTTTTAAATATAAGTAATTCAGTCTGTAACTACAGTAAAATTGTTAGTGCAAATTCTCGAACCGTTGCACAACGAAATTGTTAATCATAGTGTCATGGACTCCTTCAAATTTGTTGTTATACAGGGCGTGCAATTCGGCAAGTCTGTCATCGTATAGCAGAACACCATCCTCCTTAATTGAGCAAAGGACAGGTGAGAGTGGTTAAGAGTTCTGTTCTCGCTCACTTGGTGGACACAACATCAAGTTGACTTGAATAAAGCTTTTGAGGTTATGCACCATATCCCATCTAATTAACCACATGATTTACGAGTTCGTCTGTTACATACTGCTGAATCTATCGGAATCCATGTTCGTAAATCTTACCTTTGCATCCAAAAGAAGTCTGTACAACCACTCTCGCTACCTTTTCCATCGTCAAAGGAGCGAGTTTTTAGCCGAACTTGAATTAAACACTTATTTCAAAGGTATTCAAGCAATTTTTTAGTTTCTTTCATTTTCATGTTGAATATTCTCAATATCCGTCTATTGATTCCTACATAACTACTGCAAAATTGACTTTTTGTTAAATATTTCCCATGTCTCTGGTTCATTGCATTTCTGATAAGTGCTCTGAATATATTCAATGTTTGAATTTCGTTCGACCCCTGTATTTATTTATCTGAACACATGTTGGTACCAATGAGCACGAAAACAATGTGCCACATAATAAGAAGACGGGGTTGGGAAGAAATAGAGGAAGGAGAGTATGATCCAAGACAAAAAATGAGTGAAACAGTTTAGTTGATAGTACAACCGATGAGAATACTTTGTCAAAAAGTTCCTTTTCAAAAGAAAATTACATCAGAATCTTTATCGGTTCTTGTCCTAACACATGTTTGATAACATCTCAAGCCACTGAGTAGCACTATCTCTCTGACCCCAACCAAGCAGTCGTTATCGTCAGTTAATTGCCAGTTTTATATAGCTTTCTCACATACTCGGCTCCGTGTTATGATCTGGCTACCTCTTCAATTTTAGTAACTAATCGCAATACCAGTATATAATGCACTATATGGAGGTCTAAGGGATGACATTCATATAATATACGTAAGCCACCGAAACTGGTGTTTGAAGATCGTCAACGTACCCGAACACACTGCCGGATCTGCACCTTACGTAATTTTGCCACTGAACGTCATCTATCTTTTCGAGATGATATTTGAACACAGTCATCTAACATCCCTAACTTAGGGGACGCCAGGTTTCATTAACGAACTGCTCTCACCGATGTGTTGTACACTGAATTTTTTACAACCAAACCAACTGTACGACGGCATCAAATATGGCCCAGATTGGCATAAGTCGCTCTGGATTTTACTAGACTTAGATTGGTCCGATTCATCAAGTAATCTTGCTCTCTCTCTCTCTCTCTCTCTCTCTATATATATATATATATATATATATATATATATATATATATATTCTTTAACTGTTTGGATCTCTACAGATCTTAATGAGTTTTAAAGAGAAGCACTTGAAGGTAATATAGTCGAAAATATTTAGCTGCCATATCTACCTATTTACAACGGATTTATAGGGTGGGAAATTTTGTGAGCTACGTTATCTGTTGTCAGTTAATGTTTGTTACTCGGTGATATAACTTATAATGTGCATCGGATTTTGGAATCTCATGTTCTTCAGCATGCTGTCTTGTCATTTTTAGTCCCTCGTTCTTCTTTAATGCTGAACTCAACCATAATATGTAATTTTGCTTATGATCTACTGGTTACCGTGTTTATTGTGACTCATTTTTATAAACAATTGCTTAAAATATCACAGTATGCTACATTTCATCTTCGTGAGTTTTAGACATTCAGTAATCACATATTCTTTTCCTCATTGTCAATTTACAAGAATTTGATTGTTGAATAAATAATACTAGTAACAACTTGTATAATGTTACAACAATCCCGGTTATCAGTTCAGCTATTCTGTTTGATTTGGGGATTATGTATATTTTTCTCATCATAAGTGTGATGGTACATTCTTTCTTTGGTTGTAAACGTTCTACTAAGTATTTGTCGTGCCTTGGCATCAATATATGTATCCCAATCAGTTACACCTAATTGCCGTGCAACAATCCAGCCATGTAGTTTTTCGTTTACTATGCACATGTACTTCGTTTATTCTATTGGTACTGATCGTTGTTTTTTTTTCATTTGATTTCAGATCAACCCAATCCGTTTACCATAAAAAATGTGTGAATAGTCTACCATGTATATTTTTGCTGTGCATTTATTTTATATTTTTCAAATGATGTCTATTTTGCAGACTTAAATTAATTGTATATACTGTCCAAAACCAATTGAATCTTTTAATCAATCTATCGAAACTGGTCTTTTGTTTGTTGTCCATATTCACCTTGCGTTCACCAACCATCCTTTTAGAGAGGACAAGCGGTAGGTGACTAGACTTTTGCTTTTCTTAAGCCAAAGTCCCGTATATCAATGTGTCTGTAACATATGTCAACAAACAGTTATCGCTAAATTGACATGGTTCTGGCTAATAGGGGACCCTTGCTGAACATATTTAGCTTGTTGTTCAAGGTAAAATAGACTCACTGCGAACAAAAGTTATTTTACCTTTATATGACTTTCGATATTGGTCTGATTTATAAACTCTTGTTTCTATCCATAAACGTGATGACTGTGACGACCACGTCTGCAAAGCGCTAAGGGACTAGGGACTACTCAGATACTGACGTCTAAGTTTCTTCAGTGCTCTGATGCACGTAAACAGACAACTGAAAATCAGACAATGTTTATTATGATTGTGAATTACGTGACCAATATGTAGAGCGGCTACGCTTCTTAAAACAAAATTCCGGCTATGTGACGCATAATAGGGATTCAATTCAAATACATCGGTTTTCACTACATTAATCGTATTTTATATGTAGAAATCGTTATGCAAAAGCTGTTGCTAGTAATTGCAATACTGGATGTCGAGATGGGGTGTAATCTGTTGCCTAAATAATCAGAGAGGGATGTAGCAATTCAGCGTGGCGAATTTTATCCAATAATCTTGACCAAAATGTACTTGACTTAAGCTGTACGGTGATCGTAGCACGACATTCCAGTTTAAAAAACCTTGCGGACTTAAAGACCTTATTGTATATAGTTTGTGGCATTTTATCCAGCCACTAAACACCCCAGAGTTAATTATCCCATCGGTTACATTGCATTCAAGTACATAGACACAACTGATACTTGTTGTTGAACTATATCTCAATTCGACGGTGGCCATTCGGATCTATCAACTCTCTAATTAATGCGAATGATGAGATGGTGGACATTTTGATCGTTCTCCGGAACGACATCACCACAAACTTCAGATGAAGTGTTCGAATTTCTCCACATGTGGTTCACAGCTTGTCCTTTAAACCAAAAGATGAAACGACAAAAGAACTCGTACCCTGTGGAGATATGAAATTTATTCTGACTCTAAGCACCTAATTATTTATATTTGATTCAAATCAGTCACGGTGGTATACCAGTACTTGAATCCGTTTTAGAGATTTCAGTTGATTGGAACTTGGAGTCCTCATGGATGAGAGCTGAAGACAACGGTCGAAATGTTTGGGTTTGTTGTTTTGTCATGGGCACGTCATTGTCACTGTTATTTGGGCTAGTAGAACTTTGCATCTGGAAATGCGGTATTACTTTTGGAAAAGAAGTCGCATGACGGGAAAGGATTTTTGGATAAGAAACGAATCCACAAGTTAGATTGATGTTGTAGTGGTGTCTAACTTATTTTAGAGCTTTTATGAATTGGTTCTTCTTAGTTTAAGCTGCTTGTATGCGTCGTCGTTTCTGATCCACTTGTCTTCGTTTTGGTTGTGACGTTTTGGTTTCCGCACCTGAAGATCCAATTCTAAAAGAACCTGACTAGTCAGAGACATTTAAGGACTGTTAAATATAAACGTTTCAATGATGAGGTCTTTCATTAACTGCAATATTGCTATTACGAATCGACATAACCTCCGTGTGAATTCTGAAATTTAATGGACACAAAAATTCACAACGATGTCAGGCTACCGTAATTTCCTAGATAACTGTTGACCTGAAGTATTTGGTGTGTGCCACTGTTGTTGATAGATATAGGTAGTATGTATCATCAATCGAAAGTGGAATACCTGGAGACAGAATGTTAAGATCTAAGAAAAAAGAATTGTTGGTGTGGAAATGGAGGTGCATCAGAGTATGAGACGTCTTATTGACATTTTGTAAGTGAATTGTCTGTATGGTTCTCAAATTTTACTAATATATTCTCTAACTTCGTGTCCAAATACATGCGACCGTTCCCACTTGTGTCCTCGTTCACTGCTGTATGACTTACGATTGTCTGCTAGTACTGAAAACTGCCTTCAAATTAGTGCATACCTGTTCTTGTTTTCTTCGGTGACGCTTCTGTATTTTGTTCCCCATGTCGTGAAAATGCCCTTGTGTTGTGATGCCATACAGTTTAGCAAGTTTTTCGTTAACGAATAAAGACAAGAACATGACTTACTCGACTGCTAACGCACTAACAACACGCATAGACCCGGACGTCCAGGGTGACTCATCCAATTATGTCGAGCTAGTTTATTAGAATATTTTAATAACACGCTTACTTGGCGTGAAAACAAATAAACATCGTAATATTCTACGGGAAGTGAGTTAGTGGTTTCATCTCTTTCATGTACCATTATCAACCAGAAGCCCTTCATTGTTTAGCTATGACATTCTATCACAGTTGATTGATTCCCACTACAATTAATTTCAGTATTGACTACTATCAATGCGAAAAATCACTGCCGAAGTCAAATACTGTTGATCGCGCTTCCACTAACAAGTTGACTAAAAGAAAGCGAATTGAAAAGTCCACGAGAAGGTAACACTTTAATAATTATTATAAGTCGATTTGTCGACCGAGTTCGTAGTAATGGTTTAATTAATTTTATCAATCATAACACGTAACTGCCAAGATATGACAATGCCTTATCACGATATCTTGTTATAGTGTTGTTTTGAAATCAGCTATTTTCAATGGTCATTGTTATTCTAAGTGATTGTAAAATACCAGAAATTTGTTGTGTAAACTGATCCGGCCGGACTGGTTATATTACGAGTTGTGACCCAGAAATATTTGTTAATTTTGGTGGTAGGCTCCACAGCTTTAATTTCGATCGCCTGTTTGACTGACGAGTACTTAATTTTTTAGTAATTATACCAGTGCAGTACGATATCTTAATGCGGTTTCTTGATTATCCTGACTATGGTAACCGTCTTTCTAGGAAACTAATATGACGGCCCAATTTATAAAGTTAAATACATATAACAATAACGAATATGATGAGTTTAGTGAAAAATGATGTAGATGATTTAAGTAACTATTAAATTCAAATAGTATAGAGATGACATGATGCAATGCATGTACAGATCAGGCTAACATGTAGGCTGGTGAGGAATTTAACAATTAAAAAGGAACTTGGCCAGGAAAATCTTTAAAGCTGAGGCATGAGTTGCGGAACTACATTTAGGAATATGGCGGATGACAATACATAAATTGCCTATCCATGTTTGCTGTTGGTTGATGTTTTAACAAGTCCATTTCAGTGAAGCATTTAAATTCTATTAAGGCTTGTCAATGAACCGTAATAGCTTAACATAAATATAGACAATCACATATTAGTATCGATCGAGCTGGTAAGCTATAAGTACTAATAAATATTACAGTACGATAATATACAAGAGCATTAATCAAGAGGCCGATAGAGAAATCGACTAACATAAGTATAAATCAATCAATTAAATTAAAGTGAATATGAGAATCAAGAACAGGCTGTGTTTGTTTGGCCGGTCTCAACAATGTGGAATTATGGTTTAATTTATTATCAGTACTGCTCTAGTCACAGACCTAATTTAAAAATTGTAGATTTGCTATGATGTGACTACCTGGTCTATAGGATCTTACGTCAAAGTCATATCATTCGCTACACTGACTCGTGTTACGGGAGAACTGAAGACATTTGGCGGATTAAAAACTTTTATTGTACATTAATAATTTACTGTGTTTTTTGGATGTAATTGTTTTACTTAACTTTTGAACTTGTTTGTTTATATCTTTATTTCGGACGTTTTGGTTTGTCTTTGGTTTGGTATTTTGGTGCTCTCTTTGTCTTTGGTTTGGCATTTGGGAGTTTTGCTCCGGGAACCTACAAAATTGAAGAACGACATTCGGTCGATTATTTGTGAATTACGAATAAATTTGGTATCTAAATTGGAAATTGGTTCTGTTGTTAATTTGGGTTCGTAATTTGCAACTAGATCGAAAGTCCGTACTTCAATAATTGGAACGAGCAAAACTGGACGTAACATAAAGTTCTTCAATTATTGGTTCTGTGTTTATACCTTGGATCAGTCTGGACAGTAATTTGGATCCAAATTCCTGGTCTTATTTGTCGATTTCGTTTGGATTAATTCAGATTTTTTTGGTAATTGATTATTTGGAACAACGATAACGATGGAAACACGGAGCAGAAGGCTGAAGGAAAATGACGAAATGGATGGTAAAACTTCCAAAGCTGTTTGTGGTATGTCTGATGTTAATGATGATAAATGTGATGATGTTAGTCTTAATAGTATGTCCTCTAGCCATCTAAGTACTTCTAGATTAAAATTAGATAAAGCATTACTGAGGAAAAGGAATTTAGTGAAGAGACTTGAATTAGAACGGCAACTTAAGATGTTAGATCTACAAGAAGAGGTTGATATCGCTGAACTAGAATGCAAGGCCATCGAGGACGATGAACGATTACCCGTAGATAAATGTGGGATAAATGCTAAAGTGGGAAATTATTTGGATTGTGATACTGGGTGTAATAATCACTCAGGGGAGGTATGTAACATCTCAAATGTCGATTGGGTTGGGGAGCTGAAGGACACGTTACATACAATGGTTAGTTATGTAGCGGTAAATAAATCCCCAAAATAAATAGCACTAAGTTTTCGACATTGGATGCTGACCATATGTTTTAGTGGACTCACCTAGCTGAAGGCGCTCGGTCAGGCATCAGCACCAGATCACGTGTGGTAACGCCGTGCTCAACATCAACCGCAATCGCTAGCCAGATTAGATCAGAGAATTCCGATATATTGGTCATCGCCAAATATACTCTTCCGATCTCCTCGACTCTGTCTTTTGATTTCTCTGGGCGGGAACGAAATATATTAGAAGGTGTTACTGGTAGAAGCGTTGTCAAACACTGAATACCTGTGACATCAACATTGGTGAGCCCGACGTGATCTGGTACACCTAATTGCAACTGTGAGTCTGTTCCTTTTTGGGATTTTTATATATCATTGCCTTATTTTTTTAACTTTTTTAAACATTGTGATTTTTTTTCGTGTTTTTTCCTGGATATATATATTTTCCCCTCGTTCATTATCGTACTTCATACTTCATCATGACTGAACAGACACCTAAAGTACTCAAGCTTAAGACTTTGTCCCCGCCTTCGTTTCAACTGATGCCTTTCTGGCCCGACAACATCGAAGCCTGGTTCTGCTACGCAGAAGCCGACTTCTCCGAGCACGGCGTGAACGACACGCGTGCACAATTCCTCGCAGTAGTCAAGGCACTACCGCGCGAATTCAACAGGTACGTGACACCTAGTATGTTTACTAGTGATGTTTCCGATCCTTACGAAATCTTAAAACGCTCGATTCTTAAACGAGGAGACCTAACCGATCGACAAAGGTTAGATCAACTCTTCAACAATATCGACCTGCAACATGGTTCTGCGACAGACATGTTGCAACGGATGAGAGAGGTAATAGGCCCAAGAAATTTCGACGAAGGCCTATTCAAACAACTCTTCTTGTCAAAACTTCCCCAACAAGTGCAAGCAGTTCTGGTCTCGTTCCAGAACAATGCCTTAGACGAGCTAGCTGCATCTGCCGACCGCATATTAGAAATTACGAAATCTACTACCGAGGTATTTTCAGTCAAAGAAAAACCTCAAACGACTCAGAATGATATAAACGACTTATGTCACACACTCACGCGTTATCTTAGTCTTCGTACCGACCGTAAGAGATCGCGCACACCACGTAGAAGCATTTCTCGTAAGCGATCTGTCTCTAGACCACGAGAGACAGATAACCCCGACTGGTGCTGGTATCATAACCAGTATGGAAAGTTTTCCAGAAATTGCAGAAAACCCTGCTATTTTCCCAACACGAAACCGACTGATTCGAAAAGCATTTCGGGAAACTTCCAAGCCGGCACGCGTTAACGGCAACCGTAGCCGGCGAACAAAGCCGTCTGTTATTCGTCACAGATGTGACAACGAGAGTTCGCTACCTCGTCGACACTGGCGCAGAAGTTAGCGTTCTCCCAGCAAATCCTAACGACCGACTACACGAATCGACCCTAAACTTACAGGCGGCAAACGGAAAACCGATCGCTACGTATGGCAAAAGGTACGTTTACCTTAACGTGGGCTTACGCAAACCCATCCACTGGATTTTCCTTATTGCAGATGTTTCTATGCCAATCATTGGTATGGACCTTCTACAACACCACAATTTGATCATCGACACGCGCAAACGGAGGCTAGTAGACGGAAACACTAATTTGTCCGTTTGCGTAACTTCTTTTACTGGTTGTAGAGTATCCCCAGTCACAGTTAAACATATGATAGACCCACTCTATCAACCACTACTCGATAAGTACCCTGGGATACAACAAACTCAACCGAAACTACCGTGTGTAACCAGCAATGTTACACATCACATCACGACTACAGGACCACCTGTATTCTCTAAAGCACGACGACTAGCTCCTGAAAAGCTAAGGTTAGCGAAAAACGAATTCGATCACATGATGGACTTAGGAATCATACGACCGTCAAGTAGCCCATATGCATCTCCGTTGCACATGGTCCCTAAAAAGGACAGCAACGATTGGCGTCCAACTGGTGACTATCGGCGATTGAACGCGAAAACCATTCCCGATCGTTACCCGTTGCCTCACATTCACGATTTGACAGCTACCTTGAAAGGTACAACTGTCTTTTCGAAAATCGACTTGGTTAAAGCGTATAACCAAATCCCTATGGCTACTGACGACATACCGAAGACAGCTATCATAACTCCTTTCGGACTCTATGAATTTTTGCGAATGCCTTTCGGTCTAAGGAATGCTGCTCAAACATTCAAAAGGTTCATAGACGACGTTTTTCGAGGTCTCAACTTCGTACACGCGTATGTTGATGACTGTTTAATCGCAAGTCCGGACAGAGAAACACATCTCAAGCATCTGGATCTTGTTTTCGAACGACTTCAAAAACATGGCATAACTGTAAACGTTCAGAAATGCCAATTCGGAACCGACTCGTTAGACTTCCTAGGACACACTATCGATGCTCAAGGCATTCGACCTCTTAGGACCAAAGTGGCGGCCATTCTGGATTACCCAGAACCGACCACCGTCAAGCAATTACGCACGTTTAACGGCCTGGTAAGTTTCTATAGACGTTTCATACCGAAATGCGCATTACTTATGAAACCTCTGACCGACCAACTTCGTGGAAATGCGAAATCCATTAATTTGGACGACACCGCACGAAAAGCATTCTCCACAGTTAAGGAACTGATTGCTAAAGCAACGATGCTCGCACATCAGGACACCCGAGCACCCATTAGCATCGCAGTAGACGCATCCGACTCGGCAATCGGAGGAGTCTTACAACAATGGGTTAACAACTCCTGGCAACCCTTGGCATTTTTCTCTAGAAGGTTGCTAGACACCGAATCGAGGTACAGCACATTCGGTAGGGAACTCCTAGCTATGTATTGTGCTATACGGCATTTCCAACACTACATCGAAGGTCGTGAATTCACTCTTTTCACGGACCATAAACCGCTCACTTTCTCGTTAAGCTCTCCTTCTGACAAGTACTCTCCCCGTGAGTCTCGACAACTGGACTACATTTCGCAGTTTACTTCAGATATTCAACACATCTCTGGAGCAAACAATGTAGTTGCAGACGCTTTATCTCGTATAACTTCCTTGAACAGTTTCCAAGGAATCGACCTTCTTAAACTCGCCGAGCTTCAAAAAGAAGACAGTGATCTTCAGCACGAGTTATCGTCCACAACACTTAAACTACGCATCAAACAGATGGGAACGGGTAAGGAAACCTTACTTTGTGACACATCTACAGGTAGGGATCGCCCAATCGTGCCGAAACATTATCGACGCAATGTCTTCAACACATTGCACAAACTTTCGCATCCAGGTGTTCGTGCAACCATCAAGCTTATTGCAGAAAGGTTTTGCTGGCCTGGAATGAATAAAGACGTGAGGGAGTGGGCACGCTCCTGTGTAAGCTGCCAAAAATCTAAGGTTATCAGACACAATAAATGTCCCTTAGGCTCGTTTAAAACTCCCGATGCTCGTTTCGACCATGTTCATCTGGATTTGGTAGGACCTTTACCAGATTCAAATGGATACTCTTATCTCTTAACCTGCGTAGACCGTTTCACTCGATGGCCAGAAGCAGTACCTATCAAGGACATCACTGCTGAAACAGTGGCCCGCACCTTCGTCGAACGATGGGTAGCAAACTTCGGTTGCCCTTCAACCATCACTACAGACCGCGGACGTCAGTTTGAATCCGATCTTTTCCGTCGGCTGACCACACTTTTAGGAATCACTCGCTTCCGAACGACCGCCTACCATCCACAAGCAAACGGGTTGGTAGAACGTTTTCACCGACAACTGAAAGCTTCGCTATCAGCTGCAAACGTCTCACAGTGGACCGACGCTCTTCCACTCGTCTTACTAGGTATCCGCAATGCAGTGAAAGCTGACATTGGATACACTGCGGCTCAACTCGTTTATGGAACGACACTTCGACTTCCAGGAGAATTCGTGGATCCTTCATCCTCTTCAATGAACATGGATCTAACCTCCTACACGAACAGGCTTACAAACGCAATGCGTTCAGTTAAACCTGCTTCCACTCGACCTCAATCAACTGATGTTTTCGTTCAACCTGACTTACGATATAGTACACACGTTTTCGTTCGTCGAGACTCGCATCGACGACCCTTCGAATCAGCATACGAAGGACCCTTCAAAGTTCTTCAACGTGAATCTAAGTACTATATAGTCGATAAGAACGGAACCAACGATAGCATCAGTATCGATCGCTTAAAAGCAGCGTATTTAGAAGGAAATCCTATCTACGTGGATTTTCCTTCTGTACAATCGAACGACACGACTCCGACACTTATAATACCTCATCCGACAACCAACACACACGATGATACTTCGACAGTATCCGAAAATAAACTTAAAACGACGCGTTCTGGAAGAAGGGTGAGATTTCCAGAACATCTAAACGACTATTGCACGTAAGGCACTTCTCGACATTTTATATTATTTTTTTTAAAAAAAAACAATTTTAATATGCTTATATATTTTATTTCTATTTAAAAAAAAAACAAAAAAAAAACAATTCTTTTAACGCTATTACGTGTTCATGAGTTTGTTTTCCATTTTTTTTCCGCCGACATTGTGCTTTTACGCACATACGAGTGTATTTCGACATGCACTTACATTTTCTTTTTTCTTTTCCAGGACGGCTGGAAAAGAACGATGCCGTTTATGAGGATCCGAAATTTTCCATGTACATTTCTTTTTTTACTATGTTGTACCTCCGTCCCATATAGTAAGGAAAGACGACCAGAAGCTGCTAAATTTAGTAAGCTATCAGAAGAGTGTTTACCAACGACAAACTCGTTGGGTTTAAACTTCTGGCTGGCCACGTCTTAGGGTCGTCACTGCCCCACTAGGGGGGGAGTGATCTGTAGCGGTAAATAAATCCCCAAAATAAATAGCACTAAGTTTTCGACATTGGATGCTGACCATATGTTTTAGTGGACTCACCTAGCTGAAGGCGCTCGGTCAGTCATCCGCACCAGATCACGTGTGGTAACGCCGTGCTCAACATCAACCGCAATCGCTAGCCAGATTAGATCAGAGAATTCCGATATATTGGTCATCGCCAAATATACTCTTCCGATCTCCTCGACTCTGTCTTTTGATTTCTCTGGGCGGGAACGAAATATATTAGAAGGTGTTACTGGTAGAAGCGTTGTCAAACACTGAATACCTGTGACATCATCAGTAACATGGTTTTACCTAAGATCGATATGATGTACTTTGATGGACAACCGGGTCAGTATTACCGTTTTATTAGTCAGTTTAATAGCCTTATAGAAAGTAAATTGTCAGATAAGGGCCAATTGTTGTCGTATTTGTCATATTACTGCAAGGGAAAGGCCAGAACAGCAATTGAATCTTGCGTTTCTTTGCCCAGTGATTTGGGCTATGATAGGGCTAAACGAATTTTGTATGATTTATATTGTAAAGAACATCTTGTTGCACGAGAACTAATTATTGAGTTATTAAACCATAAACCTGTCGGAGGATCAGCTGACGTATTATCTGACTTTGCGATTAAGTTGCGTAATGTATGTATAACGTTGAAGCAAATGGGATATATGTCTGATGTTAATTCTACGGCTAATTTGGAGGTAATAGTTTCATGCCTACCACTAGAATTGCAGAATAAGTGGGTGGAAGTCGCCGATAATATCACGATGCATGGGAAGGAGCCGAGCTTTGAAGAATTTGTGGTCTTTGTAGAAGAGAGGGCCAGAATTGCCCGAACCCGTTATGGTAGATTAGTACAGTGTAACTCAAGGTTCGGTAAAAGGAATTCTGAAGGCCAAGCTGATAGGAGATCACGCTTTCATGCAATTAGACGAGACCCAAATAGCTCAGTCAAGGTATCACGTTGTGAAATCTGCGTAGATGATCATGAGGCGACAGATTGTCCAAGGTTAGCAAAAATGAATGTAAAAGAAAGGAGGCAGGAGGTAAGAAAACGTGGTCTATGTTACTTATGTTTGAGGAAAGGTCACATAGCTATGACGTGCAACTCAGGCATCAAGTGCGACGTTGAGAATTGCAAGGTTAGGCATAATTCATTATTGCATATTGATAGTATTGATAACCATGTGGTGAACCTAGCTAAGGATTGGAACTCCTCAAAGGTTTGTTTGGGGATCGTTCCAGTCAGACTATACGGTCCCAAAGGATGTTTGGAAACATATGCACTTCTAGATAGTGGTTCGGACACTTCTCTTGTATGTGAAGAATTAATTAATCAGTTGGGTATCAAAGGTAAAGAGACTTCGATAAAGGTGGCGACTGTGAACGGAACTACCAATTGTGAATGTTTGGAGGTAAATGTAGAGGTAATTTCATTAGATGAACGGGGTTCTATAAGGATGAACAAAGTTTACACGACCAAGAAACTTCCGATCGATCATGCAACACCTTTAACCGAACTCCAACTGAAACGGTGGAATCATCTAAAGGACATAACCCTTCCGAGGTTGCAAAGTAATTTTGTAGGAATATTGATTGGGTGTGATGCTCCGGATGCACATTGGGTCCTGGAACAACGTCTGGGGGACAGGAAGCATCCGTTTGCTGTGCGTACTCATCTTGGTTGGATGATTATAGGTCCTAAGGGAGTATCAAGGTCTCTACATCAAGTTCAGTGGTGTCATTGTTCCACTAATGATATTTTGCGAGATTTAGAAAGACTATATAATCATGAGTTCGAGGATACAGATACGTTTCGTAATGGATATTCTGTCGAAGATAAAAAAGCTCTAGAAATAGTTAGCAGTTCGTTTAGATTGGAGGGTGGTCATTTCCAAGTTGGTCTACCATGGAAGTATGATAAGCCAAGACTACCGAATAATTTGGAACTAGCTGGACGCAGAGTGGAATGCTTAAGGAAGAGGTTTATGAAAGATAACAGTCTTTTGGAGAAATATCAAGTTACGATGAATAAACATTTAAGTAAGGGCTACATCATTGAAGCTAGTGAAGAGGGATTTGATTATGATGCTGTTTGTTGGTATATTCCTCATCATCCTGTTATCAACCCTAAAAGGTCTGGAAAATTGAGAATTGTTTTTGATTGCACGGCTGTCTATCAGGGTTGTTCTCTTAATGACCAGCTTTTGAGAGGACGGAATACTGTAAATAGTTTAATTGGTATACTTCTACGATTCAGATTAGGAAACGTAGCATTAGCTGCTGACATCGAAGAGATGTTTCTTCAAGTAAAGATCCCGAGACAAGACAGGGGAGCATTTCGTTCATTGTGGTGGGAAGACGGTGATATACGACGAACGGCTAAGGAATATTGCTTAACAGTTCATCCGTTTGGAGCCGTGTCCTCCCCCTTTTGCGCTAATTTCGCTCTTAAGAAGACGGTAGATATATTCGGTAAGGAATTCAATGAAGATATCCAGGATGTCGTAGATAGTAGCTCCTATGTCGACGACTATTTAGTCTCTATTGATAATGTACAGGATGCGATTGAGCTGGCAAAGGCCCTTGGTTCTCTCCTCAGAAAAGGTGGGTTTAGACTTACCAAGTGGATAAGTAACTGTTTACAAGTTCTCGAATCAATTCATCTAGAAGAGGGAGCAGGAGCCGTAAGAGAGATTGACTTTGAAAGACTTCCTACGGAACGCACGTTGGGATTATTTTGGAATACAATCGTTGATTCGTTTGGATTTAAAGTTCGCATACCGAAACGCTCCCTCACTAGGCGAGGTATATTGTCAAGTTTAGCCTCACTTTATGATCCTCTCGGATTGGTGGCACCGTTTATACTTCCCATGAAACAGTTACTTCAACGTTTAGGTAAACTGGGACTAGGATGATACGAAGAGATTCCAAATGAGGAAAGTAAATGTTGGTTAAAGATTTTAAGTAAATTTCAGAGGGTTGAGAACGTTAAGTTCGTACGTTGTGTATTGTTTCCGCAATCAGATCGTTCGCTCCTGGGACTTCATATTTTCAGTAATGCATCGGAAACTGGATATGGTGCAGTAGCATACGTTCGCTGTTACATTTCTGACACTGAAATATATTCTCGTCTTGTTACGGCTAAGGCAAGAGTAGCCCCCTTGAAGGTCCAAACTATACCGCGCTTGGAACTTACGGCAGCAGTTTTAGCAGCTCGCATGGGATACCAGCTGCAGTCAGAATTAGATATTAGGTTTGCAGAGGTTAATTTTTGGACGGATTTCATGATAGTCTTACACTATATTAGAAATGAGAAAAGCCAGTTTAAAACATTCATAGCAAATCGAATTTCGACTATTCACAGCCTTACTAAGGTGGACCAATGGAGATTCCTACCTTCTAAAGTAAACATAGCAGACTTTGCATCCAGAGGGGTCAAGTTTGACATTGATGATGTCAAGATTGGGAGAAGGGCTTTATGTTCTGCGGACTCAAGTAGTTGTTTGTGTGTGAATATGCAATGGTGCCTGAAGCCATCTGTTATGGTTATTCATTTTCTAAAAGAACTAGAAGGGTCCAATGTTACGATTTGGAATCAGAATAGAGAGTTCGCGGTAAATAAAGGAATTAATGGATTGGTCCTCTATATGTGTTTATATATCCATGTTTACGTTAGCATATATGAGCTTCTATGGAGGATGAAGCATTTTGTTAGATGGTCGATAATGCGGTTGTTTATGTTGGCGCAAATATTTTGGAAACGTTTGTCTAAGGAATATGTCTCATTGTTGCAACTTAGACACAAATGGACTCAACCAGAAATGAAAATAGGAGAGAGTAACTTGGCGACGACATGTACTGGGTTTTTAGAGAAAGACAAATGGTTATTAGGTCTGGTAAGGAAAGTGATACCTAATAGTGATAGGTTAAGACCGACGGAGTTGCTGACAAGCGAAGAGAACTTGGTAAGAGATATTAGAAAACTGCGTCTAGAAGTTGTAGATATTAAGTAGCTACTCGGATCCCCTTTTATTGTACATTAATAATTTACTGTGTTTTTTGGATGTAATTGTTTTACTTAACTTTTGAACTTGTTTGTTTATATCATTATTTCGGATTTTGGTTTGTCTTTGGTCTGGTATTTTGGTGCTCTCTTTGTCTTTGGTTTGGCATTTGGGAGTTTTGCTCCGGGAACCTACAAAATTGAAGAACGACATTCGGTCGATTATTTGTGAATTACGAATAAATTTGGTATCTAAATTGGAAATTGGTTCTGTTGTTAATTTGGGTTCGTAATTTGCAACTAGATCGAAAGTCCGTACTTCAATAATTGGAACGAGCAAAACTGGACGTAACAACTCGTCCTATCGTAATGTAACGTCTTACACTTCTGAAGTATACACTTGAGCTGGGAAGAGAGTAATATATTTGACACGAAAACAAGAGGTTACATCGGGCGTCCAAGCCTGAGTTATCAAGCCATGTCATTCCGATCAATTTTTCACGCATTCCCCATTCGCTAAACTTTTCTCCTCGTTAAATGTTGAGAGGTAAAATACTATAAATATAAATGTGATTACATACAACGGAATGCAAAGCAAAATGTGGTTTTTAGTTTGTCATCAAAAATCAATGTAGGATCCAAACTACGGTTTGGATGTTGAAGAATAGCCTTCCGGGGACTTTAGACACGCGCCCTTTCCCGTCGAAATCAGAACAAGTAATCGGGTAACTAGCGCTTCTAAACAAATATTATCACCCGGCTATTCAACCAATGATTGTTCAATCAATTAAATCAATCACAACAAATGGACGTTATTCTATCCTGACTGGATAGATCACACACAACAGGAGGAACAAATCAATATGGCTACCGCCAAGAACAAGTGTCAAGTAAAACAACGCAGATGCAGTTCAGGAAGAAACACAAACTTAGTGAATGCGTAATAAAAACAAAAACTATAACAAAAAATACAAGTATTAACAATTCAAATGTAACCAAAATACAACAATGTACAACTAAGGGGATCAATAGGAACAAAGTACAAGTATATACATGGAGGGATTTTCACCAACACATAAAACCTTCAAAATGGATCATCAACTGAGATGGTTGGGCCACGTGTTACGTATGCTTGAACACCGATTACCACGACGTGCTATGCTATCCGGTATTGGAAATGGTTGGAAGAAAGTTAGGGGCGGCCAAACCAAAACGTGGCATCAGTGCTTGAAGTCACT